AAACATTTTGTGCAATAATTCCAGAAAGGTTGAGACATTCTTGAAATTTAACATGATAAATAATCTATTATTAATAGAAGAACTCTCACAAAATTCCATAGGTAAATACAGAATTCTCAACTGTTTAATATCCTTAACAATAAATAGACATATCACTAATCATTTTACATACACATGTAAAACGTATAACACAAAATTGCAAATTTTAACCTACTGTTTTCCAGGAAAAGTAAGGCCACTTGCACATAATACTTACAATATCAAAATTCATACTGATAAACAGAAATACGGAAACAACAGTTTTTAAATGACTATTTTATAGGAATATGTGATCGCTCACACATAAAACTTATAAAATAAAGATGATGGACGAAAATAACACAATTGTATTAAAAGCAAACTACTTTTCAGGAGACTGAGATCACTTACTTATGTGTCACTTTGAGAAGAGGAATTGCGGAGACCATTTTCATTTTTAGAGTCTTTGCTCCGTTTCTTGAACCATCGGTAACAATTTGAGGCCCCTTGGCATTACAGGGACTAGGCACAGTGCATAACAAGGAAGAAGACAAGATGATATATTTGCCATTAATGGAACCGCAAGAAACGATACCTTCACTCTTAAAGCTAATCAGACTATCCAATAACAAATCCTCTTGAAATCTAGAAAAGAAAAGCAAAATTGTTCTCATGGCTGAAACCCATTGGCAGCCATAAGTAGTGTATTCAAAGGCTAGCTTCATTATTCTCTGTAACCCAACTATTTACAGGATTTTCAGTCCAAACCGGGAAGGCCATGAAGCTTAATGCTATGAAAGAGAAAAGGCAGGGCTGGGCAGGGATTGTAAGAAGTCTAGAGAGAGAGAGCGTGAGGTGCCGCAGTGCAAACAAGAGTGTGATGAGAGGTATATGAGAGAGACTTTCTAAAGTTACAATATCTTTTTAGAAGGAGAGAGAGTATAGCATGAGTGAGAGAGAGAGAGCTTTTAAAATGTTAACACTTTTTATAAAAGGTGTCTTAACTACATGAATGTGGGTTGTTGGGTTGCCACGTAAGGTGGTAAACATCTCGTTTAAAATAAAACATAGTGCAAAAGAAGTGTAGACCATAAGCGCTACATTATAAAAGTAGACTAACACCAATTTAAACAAAAATAATACCAAATGGTTGGAAATATTTTGTTAAAGTACAGCATTACTAAAGCTTGTAATCTAGGCCAGCTAGTTGTAAGCATTTTATTTTATTTTAGTTATTTATTTATTTATTGTTTATATCTATCAACACTATTAATATTATGTTCTAATTTCGCAAATTTTAGGGTCGTCACATTCTCCCTCCCTTAAAGAAATTTAGTCCTCTAAATTTTTGTACCTATGGGTTATGGGCCCACCATGACTTCGCTGCGCCCTGGCTATGGCACATATACTCTTGTTCAGATATCTTCTATATTCTCTTGCCCAATTCTTTTAATAAGAAAACATTGCCACCTCGTATACTTATCAGTAAACTTTTATTTTTCTAGGATACAACGTCTGAGAGTCGCTTGTTCTACTGATGCTCAACTTTTGATATTCAGCTTCCCTTTCTTGCCTCATTCTTGACCATATATAAATTAAACTTAGTCAATTTAGTAAATTTGACTACCTTTCTGTTTTTTTGGACTAATTCCAAGAATTCCATTTCTTTTTAATCTCGAATAAAATCTGGAAAGTACTTTTCATTAAATGCCTTTAGAAATACCTCCCAAGTCAAGGGTTAATTTTCTTGGACCAATGCTCCTTTTGCCATTTGCCACTAATGTTGTGCTTCACCTTCTAAAATAAAAACTGCTAAGGCCACCTTCTTATCATTAGGACATTCCATTACCTCGAATAATTTCTCCAATTGCATAATCCATCCTTCGGCTTCTAGTGGGTCCACAGCACTCTTAAAAGAATGTGGGTTCAATTTCTTAAATTGTTCAATATTACACCCATCATTTCCCGTAGCTAACTGCCTGGGTGAATTGTTGTTCTCCATCAGATGTTGCATTAGGGCAACCATATTTTTCAAGGCTTTATGAATTCCTTCCATATTAGCTTCAGTCATTCAGGATTTTGACTTCATACCAGTCTGTACATACAATAAATATCACTTAAAGTACATTCTTTTCAAATTTCTTAGGAATCTCAAACAACTTGACTTTGATACCATTATTTCACACCCCAAGTTTACTAACATTCCTGAGGTGCGACAGACTATTCTTATACTATAAAAAAATTCAAATTCCTATTAATATATATCGTAACAAAACAAATTTTTCTATTAATTAAAATTGATACAAAGTTTGCTCACAACTGGTATTAACATGAAGTCTAGGTATACATCTGTTGATAGAACAAAAACTTACAGTGGTAAAGTTAAACAAAAGTTACAAAGGAGAATTTAGTTATGACATGACTGCATTTTCTTCACAAGCTGGTCTTGCTGTATTCGAACTATGAGACTGCAATTACCCTGAAAAATATTTACCATAGTTTGATGAGTTTGGCTACTCAGTAAGTGATCATCATGGTACTAAAAAATAATCATGGTTGGAAGATATAAACATTTTCTGAAGAATGTAGGTTAAAAACCACCTGAGGAAGAATTGCGTGCAAAAGCATTTGTAGATAACAATTGAACTTTCACAAATACACAGTTAAATATAATCCAAATTATTGAAATGTATATAAACATTATAACAAAAATGCACGATTCAAAGGATTTCACAAAATACCATACTGGCGTCCTAAGTAGGTCACTTATATACACCATCAGCGTCCTGATGGATCCAAACAATCCCTGCAGGTCCAAACATACCTTACCGGCGTACCGGATGAGTCCAAATAGCCCCTACCGAATAGGTCTAAACAATCCCTGCAGGTCCAAACATACCTTAACGGCGTCCCAGATGAGTCCAAATAGTCCCTACCGGCGTAATCAGATTGGTCATAACAATCCCTGCAAGTCAGATCATACCTCACCGGCGTCCCGGATGAGTCCAAATAGTCCCTACCGACATATCCGGATAGGTCCTAACAATCATTGCAGGTCCACTTATACTCAAATTATCTTTGAAACTCTTTAAACATCAGAAAGCAACAACATCATATATACGAAGTATCATTGAAAACATTAACATGAATTCACATGAAGCAATTTAATAACAATCACTTCCATTGAAATATCTGTAAGTAGCCAATTAAACATTTTGTGCAATAATTCCATAAAGGTTGAGACATTCTTGAAATGTAATATGATAAATAATCTATTAATAATAGAAGAACTCTCACAAAATTCCATAGGCAAATACAGAATTCTCAATTGTTTAATATCCTTAACAATAAACAGATATATCACAAATTATGTTACATAAACATGTAAAACTTATAACACAAAATTCCAAATTTTTAACCAACTGTTTTCAGGAAAAGTAAAGCCACTTACACATAATACTTACAATATCAAAATTCATACTGATAAACAGAAATATGGAAACAACAATTTTTAAATAACTATTTTGTAGGAAATTGTGATCGCTCACACATAAAACTTATAAAATAAAGATGTTGGACGAAAATAACACTATTGTATTAAAAGCAAACTACTTTTCAAGAGAATGAGATCACTTACTTATGTGTCACTTTGAGAAGAGGAATTGCGAAGACCATTTTCATTTTTAGAGTCTTTGCTCTATTTATGAAACCATAGGTAACAGTCTGCGGCCCCTTGGCATTACAGGGACTAGGCATAGTGCATAACCAGGAAGAACACAAGATGATAGATTTGCCATTAATGGATCCGCAAGAAATGATACCCTCACTCTTAAAGCTACTCTGACTATCCAATAACAAATCTTCTTGAAATCTGGAAAAGAAAAGCAAAGTTGTTCTCATGGCTGAAACCGAATGGCAGCCATGAGTAGTGTATTCAAATGCTAGCTTCATTATTCTCTGTGACCCAACTATTTACAGGGTTTTCACTCTGAGAAAGCCAGGAAGCTTAATGCTATGAAAGAAAAAAGGCAGGGCAGGGCAGGGATTGTGAGAGGTCTAGAGAGAGAGAGAGCGTGAGGTGCCGCAATACAAGCAAGAGTGTGATGAGAGGTATAAGAGAGAGATTTTCTAAAGTTAAAATGCCTTTTTAGAGGGAGAGAGAGAGTATAACATGAGAGAGAGAGCTTTTAAAATGTTAATACTTTTTATAAAAGGTGTCTTAACTACATGAACGTGGTTTGTTGGGTTGCCACGTAAGGTGGTAAACTTCTCGTTTAAAATAACACATAGTGCAAAGGAAGTGTAGACCATAAGGTCTACACTATAAAAGTAGACTAGCACCAATTTAAACAAAAATAATACTAATTGGTTGGAAATACTTTGTTAAAGCACAACATTACTAAAGCTTGTAATCTAGGCCAACTGGTTGAATCATTTTATTTTATTTTATTTATTTATTTATTGTTTATATCTATCAACACTATAAATATTATGTTTTAATTTCAAGAATTTTAGGGTTGTCACAATAATATACTAACACATTATTACTCTGGGAAGGCATGTCTTCCAGGAAATTCCAACAGTGGACAAGCATCTTTTAAGTCTCTTGCCAGATGCTATCCAAATAGCGGACACCTATATTAGGAGATGCTAATTTTAGAAGATAACAATTCTAAGAAAGACATCTCTCTGGGATACCCATTTCCAGGGAACTAAAAGTGTCCTAAGAATCAATGTGTGCTTTGTATACTTAGTAATCTCAAGATAACTTGTGCAAAAGTGCTTCTCATTCTCCACATTACTTACATATATGCAGCAACATCTTTCAAATCTCCAAATAAGCGCCACACATTATTTTTTCTGCTCGGGCATGCAAACAAATGCACAGACAAGTCTCACATTTTCATGCAATTAATAGGAGGATAAGTTCTCATACAAGCTTCTAAAATTATTCAAGTAAAATTTGTGATATCTAAATTTGGTTAATGTTTCTCTAGAAGCATTTCCTTTAATAGCCTCTCAAAGTTATCATATGAGCTACCTCCAATTTGAAGAGCACTTTTTGAGCTCTCCTTCAATTTCCTGGCCTTTAACTGCATCTCTTTACCCTTCTTTCCTCGCATCAATTCCCTAATCAATTCCTTCACATCCTCCCTCTTAACACCATTGTTTATCTCCATACCAATGCCCAATTCCTTGTAAACGTACCAGCAATTTGTTTGTTGATCGGAAAAAAAAGCCCAACATATGATCGGCAAAAAAAGGTCAACATATGATTGGAATTCCATCCACTGTGAGTTAGGAAGCCAACAACTGCAGGGTGTGACAGTACTTTCATCTGGTTGCATCATCTCAAGATAAGCGCTCTTTCTTTGGTTGCTTCGACAAATGCTTTTCCTATCATTGCCAATTCGCCGATTACGAGACCTTCATGAATGACCCATATGAAAGGCCTTTGGCTATTCGCAAGACCCCAAGAGAACTCATTGAGTTGATTGCGTGTTAAAACTGTTGCACTCCCAAAATTCACATACACAACTGACTTAGGTTCCTTGTCATTCAGCCATTCTACACATGCATCCTCTTCTTTCCTAAGTCTCATTGACACTGACTGTAAATGGTCATTGGATTCACTTTGGCTAAAGCTTGCAAACGGGCGGATTGGGTACATTGGGCAACGGATTCTTTCTAGCATGGCGTCGAGAACCGATTTATCTAATTCTCGGAATGTGCTGAGAATAATAACCTGAGACTTCAGAGAAATAGGGCTTTAATCCGAGCAAGTTTGTAACATGGGATCATTAAGATTGGTTGTCCTAATGAAGGAGGGTAAGTGCCTTAGACGGATATTGGGCAGGCCAGGTATCCAATCCACAACTGCTTCTAGATTGATGTTGGTCATGAAATTGTCATCTGCATTCGCCAATACCACAACATTAGCCATATGAGTTTTCTCTGCGGGTGGCAATTGAGTTGGGGACAACCCGATGACCAAGGCGGTCGATCAGATCAGAGTCTGAGTCTGAGTCCAAGTCCAAAAACCGTGGATCCAAGTTAGATATGGGTCGGATTTCAGTTCAAGTCAACTTGACTTGGATGTAAAATTGGTGGTTACATTTATTTAATTGACCACGCTCAAAGTTCAAAAGAAAATTATTAGAACTTTGTGAGACATTCAAGTTATGATATATATATAGAAAAAATCTTCCCAACACCTATAGGCGAGAATAAACAGTGATTTCTCCTACCATCATCACCATCCAAAGTTCATCGCATAGTTACGATTATCCGAAAGAGTTTCATTTTTTAATTTTTTTCTACAAATAGGAATAATCTGAAATTTAGATCATGTGTACATATTAAAGAGGTGCACCTAATAAAAATATAAACAAAATAATTCGTAAAACTTTAATAGACCAAAATACCCCTGGAATCAATTTATCTCATGTAAAATAGTTTTTTGATGTTTTCTTTCGATTCATATATGTTTGATGAACACACGCTCTAAATTTCAGATCATTCAGATTTGTAGAAAAGAAATGAAAAATGAAACACTATCGGACAATCGTGATCTTGCGATGAGTTTTGGACGGTGATGAGGGTAGGCGAAATCACTGTTCATTTTCTCTTATCCATATATATATATATATATAGTAATGATTCTATGAGACCCTCCCACACCCCTGTGTGTAGGACCTCAAAGGATCACCATTAAATTTAACACAAATCTCTAAAAAAGTTATCACATGGGTGTGAGACTTGACTTTTCTAGATATTT